TAAGAAAGCAGAATAAAGAAGCAGTAAGTAAAATAAAAAGCCCAGTTTTGATTATGTTCAAAGAGAATGAATACACTGCATCCAGACAGTCAGCAAACAAGGCACATATGAATGCAGCAACTCATCTAATATTTAAATGGAACATTTTTACTGTCCTTTTACTTACTTTATAAAATTAAGAATTACTAAAAAGTTTGAAAATTAGTAGAAAATAGGTTACCATAAACATAGCAGAGGATCTTTATTGAACAAAGTTTGAAGAAATTAGTAAAACTGGAATATTGACAATCAAACTATTGCAGCAACTACACAAATTTTGGTGAGTGATTTTTTTCAATATGTTTGGTACTTATAAACTATGACCTTTTATTGTGTGTTGTTTTTTCTAAGATGGACAAACGGTAATTCATAATCAAAAGTGTAATTCAGGAGTTAGGTATATTATCTCATGTAACTGCAATGTCGTTTGACTTCCATACTGTATTAACAACATTATATTAGTGTTAAGCATTTGATTACTGAGGTAATTAAAAAAACTTTTAAGACATTTTATACTCTGAGCCATTTCACAGGAGCTATAAAACGATCCCATCAATTCAGTCTTCAGGAAAAATTGGTCCTCTGTGGGAGAACATCTCTCATGACGGCAGTCAAAGCACCTACTATAGCAAGATGTATTTGCTTACTTGTGCTTCACAGTGCAACTTTGTGCTTGAGATTTATGAGAAGAATAAAAATGAAATGCAGCATGTTTGTGAGCAGTGTGCAGATCTGCATGCATTACCTAAATTAGTAGATCTAAAATATTCAGGTTCATTTTGTATGTCCTTCCTGTTATTTACAGGATTTATCTTGGGAAGATAAGCTCATCTAGCAACTTCATCTTAGAGAGCTTTAAAATATTTGAAGAACTTTAAGGAATCGTATGCATTCAGTGCCTAAGAATTTGTTTCCCCATTCTAAGTAATTTAGAAATAGTGAAAATAAGTGAATCATTTATGGCATAAAATAGAACTAAATTAAGCCAGGGTGTCTCTCTCACTACAGGTGCTCTGTACCTCACTAAAACACTAGGCAGAAACTAAGAACTTCCTTCTAGATAATTTCAGGCAAATTTTCTACTTTTCACTTCAGAGATTCCACATTGTCAATGAAAGATAGAGAGGCTTTTGAAGTCCATTAGGCTTTCAGCTTTGCTTATACAGTTTCAGTGTTAATCCAAAACAATGGGTTTATATTTTTTTGCATAACTGGAGAACCAGGGATCAAAATAAACGTAGTCACCAACCCATTTTCCTGAGTGACTTTTATTTGAGGTCTGTCCATGACAAAGTCTGAACTTAAGCATTTTGCTACTATCAATTTAGCATCATAGCTTTCAGTGTCAGGTTTAAAACTTGTTACACTAAAAAAGACATCAATTTCTGAAGAAAGCCAGCTCCACCCCAGCTGAAACTAGCACTGATGTTTTCAGAAAACCTTGCCTTGTAAAAATGACACTAGTTTACTGCTCATATGCTCCTCATTTTTATACAGGAATAGTAATTTTTTTTTTTAATAAGCAACAAAATGATCACATGGCTAGTGACTTGTTCTCTTCTGCGTCCTCTTCATCATTATTTTCACTCACCGAAATAACTTTTTAATACGATAAAGTCTCTTAGACAAGTAATTCAAAAATTACAGAAAACGATGAATTGCACAGTTAACATAGTATACATAATATATAACCTGAAGGAAAACAAAGGGATTAATGTTTTTTTTTGGTTGGGTTGTGTTTTTATTGTTTTTGTTTTGTTTGTTTCTTTGTGAGTTTTTATTTTGGTTTATTTTTTAATTTTTTTTATTTATAACAAGGTGTTTTGTGAAATATACTAAATTAGAAGCATGGTAAAATGCTTTTTGTAAGATTTATATAGTTTCAGCCTTTTTTTTTGTTTTTTTCTTCTAGTACATACTTTTTAAGAAGAAAGTAAAAAATAACAAAAAAAAGGCAGTACTATTGTTTCTACAACTGAGTCATAATATTAAAATATACAAGAGAGTGTTTTTGTTTCTGCAGCTGATTTGCTAAAAATAATTTTGCAAATAGTAGACTATTTGACTCCAGAAAGCTCTAAAAGCTTTACATGATGTGGTCACTTGTTGCTTGAAGGGCAAATAAAAAAGGGTTTTCAAAATAATTGAAGATTCTAAAGCAGAAAAAAGGCCTGGATGAGTCAGAGAGCAAAGTACAGGCGATTTAGAGAAGCAATAAAGGAGATTGACCTAAAAAAAAAGAGTTGACACTTGTCATAGTCTTGGTACAGGACAGCCATTTTCTGACTGTGGACCCTGGTGGTGGGAGTATAACATTTTTTAAAGAACTTTTAGTCAGAAAGATTCTCAGACTATGAAATTTCTGGTCAGGAACTCAGGGTTACAAATAACCTTGTGATCAGTGTAAGCTGGGGAGAAAACACCACGCCTCAATCATGTCCTTGGGCTGTCTGTGATAGATGAAAGGTTTCAATCTCAGTCTCTTATATTACAGATGAATAACCTCATTAAAGGCTGTTTAATGAACCCTGTGTATGTCATTCTAAATTAACCATGTGGTAAAGTATGATACAGCAGGAATATTGACTCTGAGTTTCCCAGATTCCAGGACTTTTTTTTTAATTCTTTTTTCCACTGAGGCAGGCCTGTATTTCTGATTCTGAAAGTCTTGTTTTGCCTGTTTGTTTTCTTGTTTGTTTGTTTGTTTTGTTTTGTCACATTTTTTTTATTTTTTTTTCCTGTGATGATTTTCCAAACACATTTTTTTCTATTTCATAAGGGAAGAGGAGAATATATGGGAGTTTTGAAAACAGACTATTTTATTTATTTATTTATTTATTTATTTTATTTTCAACTGTATTTCCTTGTCCTGTTTTTCATAAAGAACTGGTACATCCCAGGTTCTGCACTCTAATTAATTTAAAACCATAACAGCAACATAATTCAATTTCTAGTTATGTGGGTGTCCCAATGCATATCCCTCCCATCTTTATTTCAAAAGACCAGCTCATGAATGTAGAGTGACACTCCCCGCTCTTCGGCCCACTGGCGTTCCGGCTAGCTCTTAGGTTCTTGGCCGATGGCAGTGCCAAGAGTGGGGAACCGTGTAGGGACAATAACTCCCAGCACGGAACCTCCAGAGCTCCACGCACCCGGGCTCTGTGAATCTCAGGGTGTCAGAGGTCACGACGGAAGGATCAGAGAGGACTCAGTCTCTTTCATTTCCCAGGAACAAGTTTAATGTAGGATAAAAGGGAACTGGAACGAGGGTGAGGGCTGGGACAACGAGAAGGGAGCTGAGCCGAGACTCCCCGAGCACCTCTGTGCCACGGGTTTTAAGGACAAGGGGCGGTCGGACCATGAACCAATGGGAATGCCGCGAAGGAGGAGTCGGGGGAGGGGATTACAACATTAAGGGCCAGTGGTAAGGACACAGGGGAGGGACGGCAGCTATACAATCAATGAATGGGGCGTTGAGGAAGGGGTGATTGGCAGGGAAGGATCTAGAGCAAAGGGTTGTGTTTACACAGACAGACAGGGATAGGGGGCAGGATAAGGGTGATGGATAGGGAACTCTCTGGAAAAAGGGGAGGGGTTCACAATGACTGATAACTGGGGACAAACCATTTTCGGGACAACCGGGGAGTAACTGGGATATACCAACTTGAACTTAATAAACTTGAGCAAACAGGCGGCAACATTTCCCCCTTTCTTTTTCAAGAAGAGGGAGATGTGTGGTTTAGGGGAGAAAAGGGTACAGAAAACCATTCCAACAAGGGAGAGGGTGGAGGAGGAAGAGGGTGGGAATTAACATAATTAATTTGAGGTGGGGGAGATACAAGGTGTAAAACAGACTGAACTAAACATCTTCGTAATATAGCGAATGCGGCCAAAATTATAAAAATAACAAAAATAACCCATAACACAGTTCGAATAATGGAGGAGAGCCATCCAGATACACCCGATCCTGAGAATAGGTTGGCGACCCAGTCGCCAGTTTCTTGATGGATCTGGTGAATCATGCCCTTCATCTCGGAGATGGTCTTTCAGATGTCAGGGCTCCTGCTAGTAAGGTTTAGGCAGCAGAGCCCCTCAAAGTCTCTGCAGTCATGGTTATGTAGAAGCAGTAGGAAATCAATGGCTGCTCGGTTTTGAAGAGTGGCTCGCCTGGTTATCTCCTCGTCTTCGAGGAGGTCGCTCAGTGCTGTTGACGTCAAATTGGCCTGTTTGATCACCCAACACTAGAACTGGCCTAATTCACCTAGGGCCTGAGCAGCGGCCAACCATGGCAAAAACACGGACACTGCTACCCGTTTTGGTTTGCTCCAATGAAAAATTTCGGAATCACAGTCCAGGTCTAGATCCTCTAGACTGTGCTTCTTAATGACCGAATCATTCTTTGGAGTCCAATTCTCAATTTGGGTCGTATTGGGGGAAAACAGGGACAACTGGCCTAAGGTACACAGCCCTCCGAGAAGGCGAGAGGGGGTGCCAGCCCACGCCCGGTCTCCACAGATTAAGAATATACCTTTCGGCAGCTTAAGAGGGCGAGAATCTAAGGTTGAAGCCATTTTCACGTGTGCCATGTTTCTGCACCACGCCGCTGCTTGGAATTTCTTATTATCTTGGATCATCTTTGGATATAGGGTAGGATTGCTTGGGTAATAACGGAACTGAACGCAAAAGGGAGCCAGGGAGGAGTTCAATAAATCAAATTCTTGAGGCTCAGCGACTGCCCACTCTAGGTAGGCCTGCCAGTCTCTCCAAAGGAGGAGGGGATTCTGGACAGGCCTTTTTATTTGGTAAGATGGAATAGAGCGGACTACTCGCTGAGCTGGCTTACCTTTGTTGGCCTCTTTTACTAATTCTATTAAAGATTTTGGGTACTCTTCTGGCTTCAATGGGATCCCCACCAGGCAAGTGGTCATCGGGTTTCCTGCTGCTCCGGTGGACAACATAACTCATCTCACTGCAGAGACTTCGCCAACATTACCCAAGCATTTTGTTTGGGTTGGGTCACGATCCACGCGGCTATTTGGGTCACCAGTAGAGCTAGGAGCGTGATGTTGAGGATGATACTCGCTGCTGGCATCTTTGGATGGCTCTCTGAAACAAAAAGCAGACACTTTTTCTCAACAAATAGGGGTAACACATTAAAAGGAAGAAGGGGGTTCGAGATTTTCCTCCTCCTCATCACTTTCAGGGGCTACAGGGGTGGCTTGCACGGACACGACGTTATCCTCTTGTTCGTCTGGTGGCCTGGTAGGATGTTTTGGGACATAAGGCTTCACCCACTTCTGTGGGATCCACCTTAGTCCTTGGGGCGAGGAAACACAAGTGTATCCTCACCCCCAGGTCACCAGATCGAACAGACCCAGGACCTTTTGGGTCTCTGGGTCTCGGACCAGCACTGGAGGGCGATGTTGGAGCCTATAGTTGCTGGTGGACTGGAAGTGCCGGGCCACTGGCAGTTGGGATCTTCATCACTGCAATTCAAAAAATTAATGGTGAACTAGGCCTTGCACAACCTCTCCTGAGGTGTGCAGCCCCTCATGGTCCCTTTTTGATGGATTAGGACACGTTTGAGCAATTGGTGGGCTTGCTCGACAATCGCTTGGCCGGTGGGGGAGTGCGGGATGCCTCTTTTGTGTTCTACTCCCCACTCTTGCAGGAATTCCTCCAGTTTCCTGGAGGTATATGCTGGGCTGTTGTCCGTTTTGAGCTCTTTGGGGACCCCCAGTACAGAGAAAGCCTGCATGAGGTGTTTACAGACATGCTCAGCCTTCTCCCCCATGTGGGCAGAAGCAAAGACTGTGCCCAAGAAAGTGTCGATGGAAACATGTACAAACCGAAACCTCCCAAACTCAGGGATGTGCCTCACATCCATCTGCCACACCTCGCAGCTCCCCAGGCCCCGAGGGTTAACCCCCGACCCCAGGGAGGGCATGGCGGTGGTCTGGCAATGTGGGCATGTGGCCACAATGGCTCTGGCCTGATCTCGCCGCAGATGGAATTGGCGGACCAGACCAGGTCCATTCTGATGGAACATTTGGTGGCTCAGCTTGGCTTGTTGGAACAGATCGGGGAGCTGAGCCATTGAAACAGGGGTAGCGAGGGAATCAGCTATTCTATTCCCTTCGGCTACCGGGCCAGGGAGGTCCGTGTGTGATCTCACATGCATCACAAAGAAAGGTTGCTTTCTGTGGGAAACAGTGTAGATTAATGCAGAAAGCAACTCAAACAGCTTCGGGTTCGAGACCTCCTTTAGGGCTGCATGCTCGGCCCTTGCAACCACCCCTGCTACGTAAGCCGAATCTGTTACTAAATTGAAAGGTTCAGAAAACCTCTCAAAGGCCCTAACGACTGCATCTAACTCAGCAACTTGTGGAGATCCTTCCACATATTTAACGTCTGTTTCCCATTGCTGAGTCTCGGGATCTCGCCAAGTCACCACAGACTTGTGAGATGCCCCGGATGCGTCAGTGAAAACAGTTAAGGCTTTGAGAGGCTTCCTGCTCCGCACTTCTTTAGGGATCACATAAAATTTGGCGTTGAAAAATTTGTGCGCAGGGGCGTGGACTGAAACTTGTCCTTCATAACTATCAAATGCAATTTGGAGGATCTTGTTTTCCCAAAGCATTTGATTGAACATCTCTTTTGTCAGCCTATCCGGGGACGCTTTGTCCCGAGACAAGCTGACCGGCACTCGAATGCATGCAAAATCACACCCGGCCATCTCCCTAAGCCTAGCTCGAGCTCTCCCAATAAGCTGAGCCATCAGTTCCTGTGGCTGGGTGACACTTTTGGACCTTTGGTGGCTCAAGAATACCCACTCTATTATCAAGAGGGGATCCTTAGAGCCTTGGTCCCATAGGAAAATTGCCACACTTATGCGGGCTAATTCTTCAAACACAATAAACTCGAATGGTAGGGTTGGTTCATACCGATGCGCCTGTTTCTCAACCAGGGCATCCTCTACCTTCTCCAGGGCCTTCTTCGCTTCTGGAGTCAGGGTCCTGGGAGAACTAAGCTCTTTCTCTCCCTTCAGAAGTACGAAGAGGGGGGCTAGGTCCTCAGTAGTGAGGCCCAGCCAAGGCCTGACCCAGTTCAAAGTCCCACACAGTGAATGGAGGTCCGCCAAAGTCTTTGGATTGCTGTTAATGGCCAATTTTTGAGGCACAATGGTCCTCTCAGCAATCCACAGACCCAGATACTTCCAGGGCGGCATCCTCTGAACCTTATCCTCCTGGAGTTGAAAACCTGCAGATGTTAGAACGTCAACCACTCGGTCAAGAGAGTGCTTAAGTAGATTGTCATGGGGGGCGCACACCAGGACATCATCCATATAATGATGGATGATGACCCCCCCCAGTTCGGCGCGCAGAGGGGACAGCAATGAGGAGACGTACCACTGGCAGATGGTAGGTGAGTTCTTCATGCCCTGAGGCAATACCCGCCAGTGGAACCTCCTCACTGGGGCTTCTCAGTTAAGGGTTGGAACCGAGAAGGCAAACCACGGGGCATCATCAGGGTGTAGAGGAATTTGAAAAAAAACAATCTTTGATATCAATGATAGCCAAATTCCAATTTTGGGGGAGCATAGTCGGGGTAGGCATCCCTGGTTGAAGGGGCCCCATGTCCACAATGACTTTATTGATAGCCCGAAGGTCGTGGAGGAGCCGCCACTTGTTTTTCCCCGGCTTTCAAATAACAAAGACCAGGGAATTCCAAGGGCTCGTGGTTTCAACTATGTTACCCTTTGCTAGTTGCTCCTCCACGAGTTCATTGAGCGCCTTTAATTTATCTTTCTGAAGCGGCCACTGATCAATCCAAATTGCTTCATCAGTGGTCCAATCTAATTTTTGGAAAGGGCGCTCCACAGTGGCCGCTATCAAAAATCCCGAGGGGTTTTCGGGATCTCTATTTTTACCCCCCATTGTGACATTAGGTCCCTCCCCCACAAGGGAACCTGAAAGTCTGCAACAAATGGGCGTAAATTTGCCAATTGCCCATCCAGCCCCATAATTTGCACTACGCTCTTTGAAATTTGTGCCAATTGTGTACCCCCTATACCCTGTATTTTGCCAGCCACGGGTTGCAATTCCCACTGTGACGGCCATGTCCTTTCGGGGATGATCGTCACATCCGCCCCTGTGTCAAGCAGATCCTTCATGTTCACTAGTTCTACACCCTGCTTGACACTGCAATCTATGATTGGTTTATTTTTCACCACCACCTCTGCCCAGTATACGCCAGGGGCATGGTCGTCTATTGGGATATTCTCAGGGACAGGGATGTACAGTGCGATGATATGGCCTTTGGGGAGAAAGAATGGTGGGTGACTGCAACGCACCAAAAGAATGAGATCTTCCGGACCACCCGGGAAGGTGATCGGGGAGATCTCTATCTCTGGGGGTGTATGCTTTGTGTCTCCGATGGCAATGTACTTACATACGTGTCTATCGTCCATCTGGTTTCCCTCCAGGGGGTCCACAGCAACCACTGTCCAGTGCTGGGACCGAAAGAGGATGTCTTTTACAGTCATTAAATGTCGTGTCCGGTGAATTGTCCAAGCCTGTGAATTTGAACCCCCCTCCCCCGCGAGACCTACCCCATTTGTCGCTTCACGCGGGGCAGGTTCACGCCGCTCTCTTAGTTTTTTTTTATTAACACATCTTTTGCCCTCGCCCCCAAGTTGCTCCCTTGAGTAGGGTGTGTGGCTGGACAATCCCTAGCCATATGCCCTGGTTGTCCGCAGCGGTAGCAATGCAGTGGATGCGCTGGTGTTGATGGCAGTTGCTGCGTCACTGCTGCGGTCGGCATCTTCCTCGACGGCGGCGGTGGTGCGGTCCTGGACATCCCTGCTATCGGAGCTTTCTTAGTGCATGCCTCGATCAGGGTGTCCAGCGTCGGGGTAGGGTAGAGTGGCAGGCTGAAGATAATCTGTCTACAGAGGTCGTTGGCATTGACCTTCGCCGCTTCTAGCACGAGTTACTCCTGGAGTTCTGCTCTTTCAACTTGTCTCTCTACCTGCTTCTGCAGCCTATTCACAAACTTAGTGAATGGTTCTTCTGGGAGCTGATAAATATTCATTAAATTAACTTGGGGTCCCTCCTCAGGTAGGGTGTTAAACACTTTCTCAGCGGTTTCCATAATCTTTATGATCACAGGCCGGGGTAACACCCTGGCCTGTTCCTCAGGTTTGTCCCAATCCCCCTCACCGCACAGGTGTTCTAAAGTTAGAGGGACTCCATCTGCGTCAACCGCATCATTACTGTGCAGAAGGTCAGGAAGGATGGTTTCCAATGACCTCTTCCATCCCTGTTTCCACAGCCTAAAGTCGGCTGAGGAAAGGAGACAGGAAAACAATTCCTTTAGATCATGGGGAACCATTTTGTTTGCTGAGAAGGTAGCTTTTAATAATCCTTTAAAATATTCACTACCTCTCCCAAACTCCTTCTGTGCCTTGCACAGCTCCTTCTTTGTTTGGAACGAGAAGGCTTCCCATTCTCGGGATCGCCCTCCCCTCCCACGAAAAGTCATTGGAGCGGCAAGGGGGATATTCACCAGTTCCGGGTTCTGGTTCCCAGGCCTGCCCCCCCCGATTCCCAGTGCGTGGGAACCGGATGTTGAGGCGTGGGAACCGGAAGGAGGATCGTGGGAACCAGGAGCCGGAAGGGGCGGGACTGGAGGACCGACTGAGTAGGAGGGTAAAGGGGAGGAGCGGCAACCGGAAAAGGAGTGGCTCTGGGGAGTGGTGTGGTCAAGGCCCACCCCTGAGGAGGAGGAACTTCTCGAAGGGAAGTGGGAGGAACTAGGGTAGGGAGAAGGGGAGGAGCTAGGGAAGAAGGGGTTGTATTTGGAGGGACGGAAAGGATTATGGGAAGAGGGAGCACAAGGGAATGTCCCAGCCATGTGGTCCCCGCCATCTTGTGCCTCTCGGGGGCCATTTTGAGGATCATATGTAGGATAGGGGAACATAGGAGAACAATGGGAATGAAGGGAAACTGGGGAACACTGATCCGGGGTCAGAGACTGGGGATTTGCAACATTATTTAACGGGGGATTTTGAACCTGGGAAGTACTTAACTGGGGGTTTGCAACTGGGGAAGCAGGGGAATGGGTAGGTGCTCTGACAGTTTGGCCAGGGCTGCCAGGGCGAGGGTTCTGAGGGAGACGTGGGGAGCCAGGGAGACTACTGCCACTTTGGGAGCCCTGAGCAACACAGCTTGCTCCGCAGGCCTCCCCCAACTTAGGACCAGGGGAAAGGGAACACGGCGACAGGGAAACTGGGGAAGATCGTGGTGGCTGCTCTTGCACTTTCTTCTCCGCAATTAATGCAGTCTGGATTAAAATGAAAAGTGTAACTAATTTAGACGCCGATTTTTCCCCCTCATTTACTAGCTCGGTCAATTTAACTCCAACAGAATTCTAAAATTCAATCGAATTTACATTATCGGGGGTTACATTCGGAAAGTGCAAGAACAGCCATCTCACTAATCTTTTGACCCTCCCTTTTGAAAACCTTTTATCCCCCCCCCTCAAGGATTCCCGCAACTTGGTAATAGACTCTCATCTGTTGAGCCGACATGCGTGCCCCCATTCTGCTACCCACGGCTCAACAGTCCTACCACCCCCTAGCCGCAAAGGCAAACTCAAAGAACCAAAAATAAGGGTCAGGACCAGGCTCTCACACAAGACTCCCCCTCCCACCTGGGGGAGCTACACACACACAGGGGGACACTCACACCCCCTCTCCCCCACTGGGGAACACTTACCCGGTCCTGACGTTGGCTGCTGGGGATGTCCGCGACCCTCAAGGCGATCCTATGCACGCCGAGGACTGCCACCTTGCTCCCCGGGAGCGCCACCCGACAAAAATGGGCCTGCTCCACACCGGGGTAGCTGCCGCCCACCAGTCTTTTGTAATCCACAAGGAACACGACCTTTTCGGGGGTCTCCTCACGACGGAGTGGCCCCACGTTGGGCACCAGCTGACACTGCCCCGCTCTTCGGCCCACTGGCGTTCTGGCTAGCTCTTAGGTTCTTGGCCGATGGCAGTGCCAAGAGTGGGGAACCGTGTAGGGACAATATCTCCCAGCACGGAACCTCCAGAGCTCCACGCACCCGGGCTCTGTGAATCTCAGGGTGTCAGAGGTCACGACGGAAGGATCAGAGAGGACTCAGTCTCTTTGATTTCCCAGGAACAAGTTTAATGTAGGATAAAAGGGAACTGGAACGAGGGTGAGGGCTGGGACAACGAGAAGGGAGCTGAGCCGAGACTCCCCGAGCACCTCTGTGCCACGGGTTTTAAGGACAAGGGGCGGTCGGACCATGAACCAATGGGAATGCCGCGAAGGAGGAGTCGGGGGAGTGGATTACAACATTAAGGGCCAGTGGTAAGGACACAGGGGAGGGACGGCAGCTATACAATCAATGAATGGGGCGTTGAGGAAGGGGTGATTGGCAGGGAAGGATCTAGAGCAAAGGGTTGTGTTTACACAGACAGACAGGGATAGGGGGCAGGATAAGGGTGATGGATAGGGAACTCTCTGGAAAAAGGGGAGGGGTTCACAATGACTGATAACTGGGGACAAACCATTTTCGGGACAACCGGGGAGTAACTGGGATATACCAACTTGAACTTAATAAACTTGAGCAAACAGGCGGCAACAGTAGAGAACATTGTCTAAACAACAGAAATATGATTCTAGCTTGAGTGAAATATTATCAGATTTCAACCTGATAGATATTTCATTGAAGTAGAAGCACTCTGATTTTGCAAGTATTAGATCCTATTAAACCCTGGCAAAAAGTGCTCAACAATTGTGGAGCTACCTAAAGTTAGGGACTAACTGGGAATCATTAATGACTTCTGTATTCTCTCCCTTGATCTGAGTTTTGCAGTAGAAGGTCCACAACCAGCATTTTCTCTGCATTTTCTGTTACATTTATAATGTTGTTATTCAGGGTTTACTTAGAAGCAGGCCACTTACATGTAACTAACCTTGCCACTATTCTCATTCTCCTTACTTTCCCCCTTTTAATATCCTTTCTGCCCTACCAGTTTCTGCTGGTATGTTTCTCCTTCTTCAAGTGTCGTTAGTGCACTACATTTTTCCTTCACACAGCTTTTTTCCTTCATATGGTGTATTTCAATCTTATTTCTTATATTTACTCTATCTTTCTCAACTTTATGTCACTGACATGACTTTCTGTCCCTACTTCCATTCCCTGGTGCCCTATCAGCGTTTCTCCTGTACCAGCCTTTCCAATTTAGTTTTCATTTCCTCCTTGAGATAAATCTAGTACTGTCGCAGATTTGTCTCTAACACCATGTAAGTACTGCATTAAAACTCTATTACTGGTAATTGAGCTAATGTAAGAGTGCAGATTACCTATAATTTATGACAAAGTAACTCTGTGTCTTAGACATTGTAATGAATCACTATTTTAATTTAAATGTATTGGACGCTTACCAAACCTCCCAAAGTGAGGTTGCGAATACTTGAAAGAATATTCTAAAACCTCTGACAATTGAAATAAAAGCAGTCCAAATCCGAAGTCTGTCAGGATGGTGGAGTTATCCCTATATTCAAACCATCTTCTCTACCGTGAAGAGGGTCATATATGATTCACCTCTTGCTTCTGTATCATCAGCTTCTGCATATTGATTTTTTTTCAGCAGACAAATGAAATTTCAGTCCAGACTCGTGTATTTTGAATGGGATCAGACAGTAGTTATTTCACATACACTGGTACTCATTCATTGTGTTCTACTTTTTACAATTTAATCATTGCTATGAAGATAATAGTTTCACTTAGGTATATCAGGAGTAGATTTGGTCTGGTATTTTAGATATAAGAGAGTTTCACACTTTAGACATGTCAATTATGCTGTGCAGTCCTGAGTGTCTAGATTGTGCTGAGTTTAGCAGCTTCATGAAAGTGGCAAAATTCAGATTTTTAACAACTTTAAATTGGGAGAGGGGGGAATTTGGAACTGATTAGCTAAAGAACCTTCCCTGCCATTCTATTCTGAGTGTTTTGCTTGCAAGAAGTGCACTGATGGAGTGGTGACCCACAAATCAGTGTTTAACTGCACTGACTGTTGTGCTGAAGCTAGCTAGTTGCTTTTTATGCCAAGGAAGACAGTGGATATTTTATGTGCTGGCTCAATAATTTTGCTCATCTACATTTGAAAATACTTGGATGTGTTCTAAGATGTGCAACTCCTAAACCTAAGCATATGGAGTGTGTAACCACATGGAAGTAAAATCAGTCCACCAATGCAGTTTTCCCCTTGAATGCCCTTTTTCTTCTGGATACAATTCTAAGATCTTGTTAAATGAAACCAGGCTAAAAAATATTATTAGAATTAATAGACCTCTGTTGTTAAGGGAATAAAAGTATATATAAACATTTTTCTTTGTTTGTTGATACGCACTTAGGTATTTCTCCTTCTCTTTGCAATTTTAGTGTTTATATTTGTACGTCACCCACCCAGTGCATTTGTGGTGCTTGATGGGAGTGGTGTCTGAAAAA